CAAGTTTAAAATCTTTACTTGTGTCCATAAATCAGACTATATATTTCTTCTCTCTCTCTCTCTTTTGCCAAAAGTCACTATGGCCTAAACATTTAGTCTTCCACCAAAAAACATATGGATTGTCAAAAAAAAGGAAAAAAAGGGGAAAAAGAAAGAAAGAAAAAATTTATAATATATATATATATATATTATATATATATATATATATATATATATATACATATATATATATACATATATATATATACATATATATATATATATATATATATATATATATATATATATATATATATATATATATATATCCTTCAGACCAAAATGTACCAAAATTACTCAAAAAGTTTGCTGCCAACCCACTAACAAATTTCATACTAAAAATTAAACCAAATAATCAAACAAAACTTTTTTCCTTATTTATTTTGTTTGTTTTCCATTAAGAAATCATTTTCCTAAAACCAAGATCAACAATTCATTTCTCACTATATTCCCTTTATCAGCTGCTGGATCTGATTTAAATATATTTTGTAAATGGTATAACTTATGAACAAAAATCAGTAAATGCATAATTACACAAAGAAATTTAAGAAATATGAGTAAATATTAATTTGATACATAACAAATACATCAACCATGTTAACCTATAATTAAGGTAATCGCAGCTTTGAAACAAGAACAGTACAAATTCTTAAATCAAATGCTCTCCAGTTTGGGTAAATAACTCATTAAGTCTGCATGGAGAACACTGTTTGGTTCATCTCACTTTATCAGATGAAAAAATGTTCTTAAGCTTTGATAATTACAACACAAAACTATTGTTATAACGTTTGCTATGAGGTCCTCTATCGTAAAATATCACAAATATAGTATGGATATTACACCAAGAACAGAACACTACTGTTGACACCTTTATATGTTTTCCTCTAACAAGATAAAAACTTCTTTTTCATAGACTGACAATGTTAATATTAGAAAGATTTACAATATGAAACATCAGGTATATAATTCAATTTATATAACAAATATTCACTTACACAGACAGTGAGGCATGGTAGAACAAGAGCATAGGGGTAGGGAGAGCATGAGTAGAAAGAAAGGAGCAAGAAACTGAAGAGGAACTCAGGGGCAGTGACAGAGACAGGGTTAGGGACAAACAGGGGAGAAGGAAAAGGAAAGAGACTATAATAAGAAACAGTAAATGCATTCTCTTAAATAAAGTATATCTTTAGAAAATTAACAAAATACTCTGGTCAGTTTTCATTTTCAGTTGCTCTGTGACTAAAGAGTACAAAATAAGTATATTCTATTATATCAGCTGCTGCAACACTTCTCTGAAATAACAAATATAAACTATACAGCTTTACAGACTAACACTTATGTTCAAAAAAGAACCTGATCAATGTAAAAGAAACCAAATAGATCACATAATCTGTAGTTTTTTATCATGAATATTATTAGGATTCCCTCTCTATGTTAATTTTGTCTGGCATCATCACATAAGACTTTTAAACAAACATGATTCTGACATAAATTCTGCATAAACTTAACATAAGTTTGTTCCTACAAATTAATATAACCTCATTTTCAAATAATAAGTGCTTCTGGCACAAAATATATGGAAAAAAAACAATGTTCAAGAATACTGACAAACCAATCAGGGATTCACTACCTAAATCAATAATACAATATATTAGTGCTAATACCAAGAAAGTGACCATGATATCTTCAACCTGCTAAATGTCCACAGATTTTTGAATGATTTTCAGCCATGCACTTGAACAATAAGGACAAATCTGAATACTCTTTTCATCTAAATGAAAGTCAAAAGCACCTTTTGAATTTTCTTACTATGATTTAAGATAGGTCTATTAAAAAAAACTCTCTAAAGGATAGCTTTAAACCGTATATTGATATCAATCTTTCCAACGGAAGTAAAATTACTGCAGCCACACTGATATACTGAATTTAAATTACAATGACAATCATAATAAAACAGTAAAAACTTCTAAACAAATAATTCTCTAATAGATCCATCACTGGTATTTAGTAACCCTGACGAAGGCTTATTACTGACTGCCACTTCCTCTACTTCATACAGGGAATGTCATTCCAACCCATCTATTACCTAGTGTATTGAGCACCACCCAGCCCTCACAAACCCACAGGATATTCTATCCAGTCTTCATGTTCTATTTCAAATACCATTTAACCATTGCATTATCCTGAGTACGATAACCATATTGTATGCATCCTTCAAAATTGACAGTAATAAAGTCTATACAATATACATTCCAAAACCAAAGAGGACATGACTAAACATAATCATGTTGGGATCTGAATGCACTTAAGGGACCGTACCCATGGTCCAGGTAGGGGAAGAGTTTCAACCAGTTTTGAGGTGCTATGTGAGGCAAGATTTTCCCAGTTGATTTTACATTCCAGAAACAACAACAGGCCAGCATAACAAGGGCACAGCTCCAACCCAACAAATGCTGGTGTACTTATTAGCACAAAAATTAATCATTGTCTTTTAACATTTCCAGCTGAATCAGATCACAGGCAGCAGAAGTGTCTTTTTATAATGGATTCTTCCCAATGCAAACAATTTATAATAAAATAAACAATAATAATATCAAGTAACAGGTAAACAAAGAAGCAGATGTAAGTAGATTTTAACAAATACAATATATAGGTGATACCATAAAATGCACTTAAAGCCACTTATGAACACATTTTCAAGTACACACTCAAAGTTAATGCACGAAGGGCTACAGGATTTTATATGTTACACATGACTTCTTAGACAAACAAATACATAAATGTATTCATGTACACATGCATACATGTATATACAAACAAGTATATACACATGAAAATGCATATATATACATGCATATACATATGTATACATATATATATTCACATGTATACATGTACATATTTACATACACATGTACTCGCATTTACACACAAAGTACACATGTTCACATATGTGTATACCTAAGCATATGTACACATGTATACATGTTCATCGATACAGACACACATGCCAACACATGTACATGTAAGAAAACACATACAAGTGGTTTGAGACAAGGCATTCCTGCATTTATACAACAGTTGTTAGGAATTAGTCCCTTCCCACAGGGGTCACCTCTCTATTTTATAAAACCCGGAAACCAACTGGCCTCTCTTTATGCAAAAAAAAAACAGCATTTGAAAGAATAATGAGCGCAGTTTATATGGTAGCTTATATCATAGTTGCATTACTGAAAAAATATAAAAAAAGATTTGAAATACTGAAAAAATCTTTTAACCATAAATGCTGAGCCTCTATATAATATTTGTAACATTTTTTAAAAATCAATTTCTGTAAAAATGCACAGAAAATATGAAGGGGAATTTTTAAAATTTAGAATTTACTTTTGAGGAAAATAAATCAAATTTCTATCTTTAGAGATCATTAATATTTATACTGGTATTCTTCGTCAAAAATACATTATTCAAGTTGAGAATAGAAACTTTTCAAAGATAACTTTTCAAAAATAAATGAATAAATAAAAGGTTTTCTTTACCAAAACTATCAAAATCAAATAATATGTACATTTAAAGAAAATTGCTAGTACCATTTTCTATTTTTTTAATTACTCCTTTCTTCCCCACTTTTCGGGACGGTCCTTTAACTACCACTTATATGGCACTACAGAAAAGTCCTATTAAAGACAGCATTCTAAATATGACACTGGAAAAATTTAGCCAATACATAATACATCATGTGTGTATAAATTTCGTATCCATAAAAACCCTACCAAAATCTTGCAATCTTAAAAAAAATAATAATAATAATAAAACAAAAACTATGACAATTTTTCATCATTTACCTAGTTACTCATAACTATCAGAAGAAAAAAAAATCATTACACCTACAAACTTTTAACAAATTCAAATAAATATCAATTACTATGCAGCACATATTAATCCAATATCTATAAAAAACAAAACAAAAAAAAAAAAAAACATAATCAACACAAATCTCTTTAAAGTTGCTTCTACCCTTATTCAACATGAAATACTTTCTTTTTACAAAACTCTGCCACCTACCATGAAAAATAACATACATACACTAGAATGTGGAAAAATTGTACATCCTAACCTTGAACAGTGATAATAGTAAAAACTGGCTTCTACGAAATTCAAAAGTCCTACGTACACAGACGTTGCCAGAAATGTTTACTATGGCAATTATAAATTTAAGAGAAGAGTAAAGAACAAGCAACATCATCACAAGAGAAAGTTGGCTTTGCACTGTATGTTCAATCCAACATCTGGCTGACAATCAGAAATATGAGGTACATTCTCATAGAGAACAATTTGTTATTAAATATATATACCCACATACATCCGTGCATGACTGTGAATATGATTTTTAAAATATGTGCGTGTATGGATATAAATACACTATAAATTTTGTGTGTGTGTGTGTATGTGTGGTGTGTGTGTGTGTGTGGGTGTGTGTGGTGTGTGGTGTGTGTGGTGTGGTGTGGTGTGTGTGTGTGTGTGTGTGTGTGTGTGTGTGTGTGTGGTGTGGTGTGTGTGTGTGTGTGTGTGTGTGTGATTTTTCGGAATAAACAAGCAATTTTCTGAGATAATTAATTTTGATATTTTTGATAAGCACAAACACAAGAGTCAAATACAGAAGATGCCATTAGGTCTTTCAATTTTTTTAAACAACTAACAACTGTAAGGTTATTTTTCACTTTTAGTGTTTATCAAAAACTGTAATGAAAACAAAGCTTTTTTTGATGTAATTTTTGTTACATATGATCCTCAGCAAGATATCTAAAAATTCAGTCAATATTTTCTTTACCTTTATATAGTATATAATTTACTGACAATTAAAACTGTAACATGATGAAAAGAATTTCCATGATTCCAAAGGATAAATGCTCTAAAATGTCTGTGCTTCACTACGAGAAACCATGATAGGGAAATTTTAAGATTAATAGACTTTGTAAACATCTAATACGTAAGTAAAATCTTGCTGATAACAGGTGACCTGCACATTGGACAAACTGCAAGAGTTGTGCAGCATTTACTACAGGCACACACATGGCCACAGGGCAGAAACACAACCTCACAGCCAGAATCAAGACAAATTACACATTCGGCTTCCACATATTGATCTTCTAATGGAGGGGCTGATGCTCCTTCACCAAGGTCTTCTAGTGCTGGGGC